AGTAATCCTTCAATGTATCCCTCGTGGATATTTACCATTGTTTTATCTTCAATATGCCTAAAATATTGCTATATGGGAAAGAGGTGAATATAAAACATGAGAAATATAAATTTTTTTAACAGACCCTAACCCTTTTTTCTACTAATTCTTTATGCTCTAGGGAATGCATCGGAAATCAACAAAGCAGCCCGGCTACCTCGATTGGCAGAGCGTGCGACTTTTATTCGTGATTCTCAATAAATCACAAGGTTGGTACAATAATGGCCAGATAAGAATAGGTAAATGCGAAGGGGCATAGCGGCCAGGCCAGATGTTCTATGGTTGGTGCCTGGTTTTTATGTCTGAATGTGGCTTTCGACGCCGCTATATTATACATTGAAGAGCCTCCAGGCTGCAAGTAGGTGTAGAGAAACATAGCACTAAATGGATCACATGCTCAGAAATCCACGTACGCAGTATCAGACCATGTAATCTGCATTGTCCTGGAACCATGTTCCACTTCCCTGTTGTTTGACTGGGCTTCATACGAAAGAAAATGTATTCATCTGATCTACTTCCTTGTTCTCCGAGTCCGAGGCACGGTCATCTGATACTAATCCTACACGGATAATCCTGATTTATTTGGGAATATTCCTCGTGATCTGAAGTGTATTGAGTCATTCCGATATTCTATAGTACGGGACTGCCAATGCACTGCCCTGCAGCATATATGACGTATTGAGCTCATTGTGACTCAATCCCGGTTGATTCGCCGTTTTTCTTTGGTAGGTGTTTGTGTGGCGATTGGATTGGGGGTCTGATCGGGGTAGTATGATGTAGTCTGATGGGTATGAACTAGTCAAAACCCGAGTTCAGGTTGTGTGCTGTTTAATTCTTAAGTTTGCTTGTGTTTTTGTATTCCAGGATTTGATTGGAGACTTCCAATTCCCAGTAACTGTTCGATTGGTGTTGAGTCAATGTGAAGTCATAGTCACGTCTCGGCCAAGTTACATTTGAGTGCTTGGATGGCAGTCAAGTGCTAGAGTCCAAGGAGGTCGGCCACGTTCTTTTGGCTCTTTTTTTTTGGCTCTTTTTTTCGAATAGTTAAGAAGTTTTCCAATATCGAAGTCGAACGTCTGTTTGTCTAATTATTGAAGTCTCGTACTTATGCATGATTTCTCATTGTTGCGCAGTGGGAGGAAGCCATCCGTGAAGATTTCGGGTGGAATAGCTTCACTGGGCTTCTTGTTGACTTGAGAAGGATCATGTCCAGAAATAGAGTAGTCTATTATTCGGTCAAATAATTCTAGTCTCATTTTGGAATGTGTTGTTTGGCGTTGGTTGTAGGCCTGGAGGGGTCACCGGTTTGGATGGGGTGAAAGGCGGCCGGCCTTGCGACCGAGTTTCGTCTGACGCGAGAGAACACAAAGAGAACCCAAACAAAGAGAAGAACACCTTGAAAGTCTGTGCAGACCAGTAGATACGCATAAGGCGTGTCACTTACAAATTACTTAAATCGTTTACGGAAAGAAAAAAAAATTGTGAATCATAGAAGACAGCATTAAAGCGTCCTGTCATGAGATGATGCGCGCTAAGGCATCATGTTAAAGGGAGGCCCATAATGTACATGCCCATGACTTGATCCATCAATCGATGGTGAGCAGTAGCATCGATAAAAAAGCAAAATTGCGAAGCAACCCGGTGCCGAAACCCATTGATATTTGAAAGCAAACCCATCATGTATCGCCAGTAGTCATGATAAAAAGATAAAAACAAACCCCATGATCGCCTTTCAGAAACCCAGCTCGTTGAAAATGAAAAATTACGAGCGCTCGCCACGGAGACGGCGGGCCAACTGGATGTCCTTGGACTGAATGGTGACACGCTTGGCGTGGATGGCGCACAGGTTGGTGTCCTCAAAGAGAGAGACGAGGTAAGCCTCAACGGACTCCTGGAGAGCACCGATGGCAGAGGACTGGAAACGGAGATCGGACTTGAAATCCTGGGCGATCTCACGGACCAGGCGCTGGAAGGGGAGCTTGCGGATCAGAAGCTCAGTGGACTTCTGGTAGCGACGGATCTCACGGAGAGCGACGGTACCTGGAGATGGAATGTTAGAATATATTCTTAAAGATACGTGATGGACGCCATGTGCGACTTGGTGGAACTTACCGGGCTTGTAGCGGTGGGGCTTCTTGACACCTCCGGTAGAGGGAGCGGCCTTGCGGGCGGCCTTGGAAGCGAGCTGCTTACGGGGAGCCTTGCCACCAGTGGACTTACCTATTTGAGACAGTTAGTAAAATGTTTCTGAACGCGTGGACGCGTCACCAAATCCTTCGACGTGGATACCTGACTAATCAGGCATCGACGACGAGGTGGAAAAAGGTGAAATAAATGTAATAGATAAAATACTTACGGGCAGTCTGCTTGGTACGAGCCATCTTTGATGATAGACTTGATGTAAAAGGTTGAGTTGATGAAAGAGTTGGTTGGTAGATGTGAAAAGGAAGAGAGAGGAGGGTGGGGGAAGAGTATTTGTAGGAGACGGGAGGGGGGGAATTGATCTGGAAGGGGAACCACGAATCAGGGGGGAGTGAGCCGATCAGGATCAGTCAGGAAATCCAGTGCGTAAGACTGGGGACTGCATAGCGTGTAGCCCAGAGACTGATTTGCGGTGAGATCTGATTGGTCGAGCTAGATCAAAGTGCTGGTACTGCCAACTAAGCGAGCTCTAGACCAATGAGAGTCCAGGATCACGGAGTATAGAATGTCCAACCCTTGAATTCTTGATCTTGCAACCAACCTCCCTTGAATGAACAATTAATGCATTCTGATCTATTCACCACGCTCTGGAATGTATAATTGTACCATTTTATTTGTAGATTTACATTGTTGGTGGCGGATTATAGGAGGATCAAAGATGGACCACGCCAAAGTTGGCGTTCCGACTCTGGGGTCTCCCGGCAGATCAAGGTTGGTCTGTGATCCTGCGCTCTCATTGGTGGACGCCATCCCTAGCGCGTGATTTCCCAATCCTCGCTGATTCCCGTATCATACAAATATCCTCTGTCCACTTCTGTTTCCTTTCCCTCTTTTTCCATCAATTCCATCAACAACCTCTCAACTACCAACTCCTTCTCATCCCACTTCTACAAACCCCTTTTTTCTTCTAATCCATATTCAATATGTCTGGCCGTAAGTTACTACCCCACGCTTCTGTTTCTTCAAACGCGTTCTAACGCGTCTCAATTCAGGCGGCAAGGGTGGAAAGGGTCTCGGCAAAGGTGGTGCCAAGCGTCACCGCAAGATTTTGCGTGACAACATTCAGGGAATCACCAAGCCCGCTATCCGTCGTCTCGCACGTCGTGGTGGTGTCAAGCGTATCTCCGCTATGATCTACGAGGAGACCCGTGGTGTCCTCAAGACCTTCCTCGAGGGTGTCATCCGTGACGCTGTTACCTACACTGAGCACGCCAAGCGCAAGACTGTCACTTCTCTTGACGTTGTCTACGCTCTCAAGCGCCAGGGCCGTAAGTTTTCTACGTGTCTTCCCCTTCCAAAACGCGTCTCTAACCTTCTTCTTCAGGTACCCTCTACGGTTTCGGTGGCTAAATCATTTCTGCTTTTCTTTTCCGGGCTGGTTCACGGTACGATGGGACGTTGGGGTGTTCTCTGATTTATTTTACTACAATCATCATGGGTCTCTGGGTTTTGCTTTTCATAACACTCGATTACCACTATTGCGCGTCCATAGTGTTCGCTTCTGAGCTTTTCTGTATCATAGCAGCCTCTTTACATTACGGCTGGCACCATGGACATGGTGGGATCAAGCACTCAAGTGCGATCCGATACGAATACAATCAAAACTTGAAATAATTTTGACTCTTGGCTTGCAACTAATATACTTCTGGAGTAAATGTCTGTTTTCTTGACGCGTTTTTTTTGCTTGGCTTGGCTTGCAGTGCTTGGCACCCTATTCTCGGTGGCTAAGGCTCGGTTGTTTGGCTATTTGCCCAGGTGTAGTTGAGGTCTTCGTGGTTTGGAGCTTAACGCGTTGTTTTGACTGTCTGAGGCCTCCTTTCCAATTCTCAACATCCCCCATGTATTCCAAGGTTATATAATTTGATTCAATCCCTGTCTTATTGGCCAAGTACACCTGTTTTTTATGACCACTCATACATATCTATTTACCCTGTGCCATACTATCGCTGATTTTTTTCGTACTTTGATGATGTGCATGGAATACCATGTACGCATGTCTATGCATACCAACTTCATATTCTTTGAGTATTTTGCATTTAATTTGTATGCCTGGTCAATTTTAATATCTACCTATGCAACATAATGACTTGGTGTGTTCTGGAGTTGGAGGTTATTTGAGGGGTATGTACAGTTGTAGTATTATAGATATATATATTAATGCCAATATCAGACCGGACTCTCAACCAACACACCAAACAGCATAAACCCAATAGAAAATTGCATGCAGATAGAGCCTACCCATTGCCAACTTCCAAAATTCCCACATTGAACCCATGCAGGCCCCCATTGTGATGTGGTCAGCAAAACAATACGAGTCAAAGTTGAACCCCCAAAAACGGAAGTTCAACTTTACTTGGCACTATGAAACACGATAAATTCTGATATACCCACAACAAAGTTGCAAATGCAGATACTTCAATTGGAATGTGCCATAAAAATATTTACCAATTAGTTACAAAGTCAAAATATACTGATCTCCTTGTAAAATCTAGTGGAAGCCCATCTATGTCAAATGAAGACTGAATTAAACTCCTTTGGGGGGTTCAACTTTCCTTGGCACCATGACTGTATACTAGGGAAGCTGGAACAAAATTGTCACCTCCTTCCATAAGTTCCACACACAGAGACGCAAAGAGAGCCAGTGAACAATAAAACAGACTGGCTATACCTGCTAGTTTGAAAGGACAATGCGACCGGCAGGGCAGAAAATCAGACTAAGCAGGCAGAGCAAACACCAACCCGCACGATTGCTGCTACACATGGAAGGATGCAGACAAGCAACCCCCTCCAACTTATTCTTCAACTCCTCCTCCATTCACCACCCTGTATCCAGCTTTATCAGTAACCCAAGCGCACACAGGGCTCATCAATTTCCCGTTGATATGAAGAACAAGAAGGAGTTATCCGCCCTGAGAGTCCGACAGATGGAACATGCGGCCAAGAAGGACGAGGGTGAGCAAGATAAAGACCCAGCTAATGAACTCCTTAACGCCCTAGCAAGGTATCAGATGCTTCTGCAGAGACTAGAAAACCACCAACGACACAGTAGCGTGCACCTTGATCCGAAATACAGCGACCTGACCATTGTATGTGGAGACGAGGAATACACTGTGCACAAGTGCATAGTTTGTCCGCGATCAGCCTTCTTTGCCAAAGTCTGTGATAGTGGGCTGCAGGTGAGACACCAAGGGAATGAAACAATACACCGGTGGCGTACATCGGCTAATTCAACCAAGGAATCATCAACAAACAGGATCAAGCCACAAGAAGAGTCTATTCTGGTCAAAGGGATGATCGAGTATTTCTATCACCTGGACTACGAGGTGCAACCTCACAGTCCAGAAACAGACATCTTTATCGGGCTAGACAAGCCGACATCGGACACGGACACGGACACCACGGAGGCACCCAGTGAATCAGCCGAAGACCCGGTGACTACGGTCGATCCTCTATCGGTACCCATATTGATGTACTCGCTCGCAGACCGAGTGTTCACGGAAGGGCTGAAGGTGCTTTCAAAGGAAAAACTTGGGCAAGAGTTGGGCCGGCGACTGAACTCGAAGATATTCCCGCATGCCATCGCCCAGATTTACAACTCAACACCAGCAAATGACAGAGGTCTGCGAGACATGGCCATCAAATTGACCATGGATAATATCAAGGAGTTGAGAGCAGCGCAAGTGGCACCCTCGACTTTCCCAGACAGCCTGGTGAGATCCACCCCACAATTTGCCTCTGACTTGGCCGTGGCAATGATGGAAAAGATGGTGGCCGACTGGCAACACCGAGGAGTGCGTGGGACAAACTCGAACTCCGCGTATTACTAGCTGCGAAGAAAGACCCCAGAATGCTGAATTGACACAAGGAATTGGCTTATTTCACATTGCCATGCAAGCAAGTCGTAGGTGAGGTAGCTAAATCCAACATGGAACCCAAATTATACAAGCACTAGATACCGGTACCTAGAGTACACACCAAGAGGTGAATATAAACGTCACAAACTGAAATTGACAAAATAATAGCAGTTGAACAGATCGCCCGCATTGGAACCAAATCGTCAATACCTACACCCCAGGATGACTTGACTACCACTACAACAACCATCTCCTAGCATGACCACATGCTTACACCACCACCAGACCGAACACCGCAAGCAGACAAAAAGGAAAACAAGGATGACATCTAGAGAGGCAGACTTGAGCGAGATTGGGATAGGGCACCAGAGGTCTTATTCTGACCACAGCAAGACGACGAATGATATTCTCCAAGATAAACCTGGTTGTCTCAACTGCTTCGATCAACACACATCGCAAACAACCATGGAAGGCACACAAAATTGAATTCCGACAGACCTAATGCCGACTCCGTCAAGCTGATATCCTACCTCCGAATCGCCTGTCCCCAGTGAAGCTGACAAGACTCGACCTCCTCATTTCAGAGCCTTCCAAAATGCGAGACATCCCCCAGTCTACCAAGCCGATTATTGACGAGTCACCTCCGCAGACAGCCCCAGATGCTCCCAGAACCGAGTCCTGATCGTGCGAACCAGATGATGAAATACGCGGCATGGCGAGAACCTTGGCCAAAAGTGACACCACAAACAGTCGATGGACACTTGATCAACATACTGGAGACTTGTTTGGGAACAAACCTGTGGATATGATCTCCGTGTTCATCAGGGTAAGCGACCAGCCAATTATCCGAATGGGGCAGCCAAATACCGAAAATCATTACGATGGAATTAGCCGTGCTCTCAACTTTGCAGGACATGAATTTGCTGCAATGTTTACGATTGATTCGACGTAATGCCACTGGGCCCCAGTCTGCACGTTGACTCGTCCGACGCCAACTCTGTCAACAACTTCTACGAGCTACATGGACATCAGAATTTGCACGCCGAGAGAGTCACAAATACAAACCAGGAACTACGGCCGCGGTGGAAGATGGCACACTTATGTCAAGATGGACCAGAGCCTTGCATTCTACCCGAAAGGGTTTATAGACCATGGGACATTGGACGTGATTGAGAATGAATACGGCTTTCTGAAAACTTGGATGGCCTTATTGTCATTGATACTAGCACCTAGCAAGCCATGAACCTGTCTCATTTGTCGCTAGAAAACACATTTTGTGTAAAGAGTACTTGATTCGTATTCTGCAAGTCGACACCAAGGGAACCATAGCCTATACAGGGAACGACAAGACCAACAAGCGATAGCAGCGGATCAAACCAATATACTATCCACCTGAATCTATAGACGCTGGCCACTCTATTAGAGTTCATGCCCTGTAGCAGACCGGATCCAATAGGATTGAATTCCATGACATCGACGTAATATGGTACACTAATACCGCAATTCGTGAGACTCCAGTCCTCGCTTCTTCAATGACCTCCACTCACATAGCACCATGCGTTTCGAGGTATCTCCTGACACAACTCCAGCCACAAATTCTATTTATATGACACACGAAGCGCTAACGACCTATACGACTGCATCTGCTCTTCTACTCAGATGGATCAAACCCGTAATGCCTCGATACGGACATGCAGGTCACGTTGTTAACCACAAATGTCGACAGCCCATGACGAGTCCCCCACCACGTCACCAAAGAACAGCCACACACCGTAAATAGCGGCCTATACGGAGTACCTGGCGTTGGAACGCGCTCTCTCGCTGATGTAGCCCAATAATTGCACTAGACATCGCTGAAATATCTCCATATGGAAATATACCAAATGTTAAGATGCAATATTTCAAAAAAGCATGCGTAATTCCCTGATTTGTCTGGGCCTGCGTGAGAGACTTAGAAAAAAAAAACATATAGTAAGAAAAAGAAAAAGAAAAAAAAGATAGACATAGCATGTCCTGGTTTCGATCCAGGGTCCTCCGGGTTATGAGCCCGGCGCTCTTCCCCTGAGCTAACATGCTGGGATGTTGAAGAATGATTTTCTCTTTGACTACATTAGCCAGGAAAATAATGTTCAAAGCATCCTCTACAAGGTCCAACTCGCGAGGCCACTCTCTCGATCGGCTCAGGGCCTTAGAATAGCTGGGTACATATTGTGGAATTAACGCAAAATGGTTTGATTTATAGGATCTATTCTATGGAGAAATTTGTTTGCCTTGGACATGATAAGTTCTATTTAAAGGACTATACTACTACCATCAGATAGACAACAAGGCAGTTTTTGGTCATGGAAGCTACTTATGTGGTAGACCGATATAATAGGAGCCTCGAAAACTCGTCTACCAGAATACTATACTATAAGCCATCAACTCCGGGGATCAAACTTGTTTGCGACTGGGCGCCACAGTGTCTAATATTTACCTTCTCTTTCCTGTTCAGGAAATACCGATGCCTTGCAGCTTGCTGCCTCGTTCTCGGGACGGCATCCTACACCAACCTATAGGCTCATTGTGATCGATGGCGTCCAGATTAGCACTGTTGCATAATTCTATTGCATGTGACTGAGAGACTTACAATGTAACTGTATATCCTTGTGTCACTAATAAACATGGTACGAAAATGACTCTAGATCTACCTGTAGGCACCGGGAATATGGGTCAAGTATATAGCAGTTGAGCCCCTGCCTACCCCAATGGCCAATTAGCAAGGGTGTTTCAAGGTCCTGGCAAGAGGACCATCACAAGAAATTGACCTGGAGGCTGGGTCATAGTGCGCTTGGTCATTAATGGGCTCCTGTTTTCCGATTCTATACAGTACAGGTATCAGATATTGAGAAATATAATTACAGGTGTACTATAGTACATACGTACTATCAGAGACATGTGGCATTCCGGAATGCAGAGATAGATCGTGGCTAGCTTCTAAAATTCTAGGCTAGCGTACACATAGGCAACCAAGTAAGGCATTGTTATTACCTGCTATGAGCTGCATAGCCACAACTCTTTTCCCAGCAAAGCCCCTTGAAAGGCTTCCTAAAAATTTACTGACTCAAGATGACGAAGCATACTCCGTACTCCGTATAGTATACGGCTGGCGCCAAGGATCTAAAGCATACACGTGACAGCCATTTGGAGTTCCAAGCCCAACCTTGGAAGTGTGAGTCAGAACAATTAGTCAGGATTGAATTGGTCAGGATTGATCCCAAATGACATCGGGATAATCAATAATCAGCCACGCTAGGATATGCAATGCGAAAAAAAGCGAAAAAAAGCGAACAGAAACTTGAATACGAATCCGAGGACAGGAGCATGGTCCAATGTCGGCGATGCCCGGACGCCGAAATTCCGGGACGAAAATAGAAAGCTTCCAGAAGAACGAAAACAGCCACGCTTTACTAGATGCAGTACTAGCGGCATGCACAAGCCACCAAAAATCCTTCTGGAACATACCAGATAATACCGAATACGATTACCTGCAGACCGTGGCTGCTACAAGTGCCGTATGGTAACAGGTAAACCGGCAACTTGAACGGCGCCACGGCAGTACCGAGATGTGGCTGTGCACCCCTAGTTCTCATGGCCAATCATTTACATTGAAAAACTTTTCACTGCTGCATTAGATTGCTACTAAATATGAACCTGCATGACAATCTTGCAGACCCGTCGAGAAACCCGATTAGAGTGCTGACATATTTTTTTTGGTCGGGATCGCATGCCGGTGAAAATTTTTTCTCCGTGATCTTCTCAGTTATGCAGGGGCCCTGTCTTGGTGACAGGATTTGATGCCCAATTGAGAAGGAGAGTATGTAAATTGTAAACAAGGGTGCCTTCGGTACGCGAATCTGTTTTCAGATCACTGCTAAAAAAAACCTTGGATCTACACATTCCCACTATAATCCCACTATATCTGAGTGGGCCATTGGATTTGGATATTTGGATCAGCTGAGGCTGGTTTGCCACTTCCCCGGACTCTTGTAGGCCACGTTTTGGTGTAGCCTCGAGGCATTCGCCAAGATCCCGCTGTCCACGGAAAAAGGAGGATCAGGTGAAGGGGCCAGACTGTTCGGTAGACACGGCAGACCCCCGGACCCGTTTCGGCGTGTCCAGACCGAGAAAATCACTGAACCCCGAAAACATGCCGGTCGGATTTACATTTGCGCTAGTGGATTTGAAAGGGAGATCCTAGGTCACATGGCACCTGGACTATTGTATTGTTGCTGCCTTTTGGTGCCCAAGATCTAACGGGGTTTGCCGATGCTCGGTTAGGCCCTTGATCTGCGATCTGATACTCTGGAATTTAGTGTCCAAGCCATATGCATATGCACGGTCGAAGGATAACAACGCTAAAACAGAAAATTTCAAATGTAACCCGCAGTACATGGCATTCGTACCACGCTACTCAAGGTCTTCCGCGTGCTACAAAGCCGCTAAAAAAATTAATCTATAGCGATCCGAGCACCAGGAAATGAAAATCCGAAAATACCAAAATCAAAACTATTCTAATTTAATACGGAATTGTATTCTCAACTTTCTGAGTCAAAGAGAGAAACATATGATTCACATGTGATCGAGTCATCGAATTCATCGAATCATCGAACAATACATACCAGAAAATTAAGGCAATCAGCCCACAGACCATGTGACCATGATTAGAGCCTGGCGCATAAAAATTCCTGTGTAGCCCAACCCAAAGTGGGCATTTCCCGCCGAGCCAACGGCAGAACTAAGTCCCGCACAGACAAGCGCTTACACCGGGGAACAAGTGTAAGACATTGAAACTATACACGATAGCACTTCGCTTAGTGTGGAAAAAAATGAAACCTGTGGTGACCCAAGATCCGGGGTCAGCTGGTCATCAAATTCCCATAGAACAAGCAAGATCCATGGGACCCGTGTCCTTCAGCTTATCATGCCATTAT